CGCTCTATATATTCAACCGCTACCTCCACCCCGTATCTTCCCTTTGTAATTTTGTCTCACGATGCTCCTCTTATCTCGCCTTAAGGCGCGTCAAACTCTCTCTCGCTCGCAAGCACGCAATCTTCATTCCTTTGTTTGCGGCCCCGGTTTATTCCGGTTTGCGGTGCTCCTTTCCTTAGATAACGTCGAGTTTTTGATAACCGACTGATCTCTAAATTATAACATCGATATAACATCGGCACAAAGAGACTCGAGTCACCGTCGATCATCCGGGTGCATCCGCGTCAGTTCATCTTCCGCCGAGAGCCGAATATTCTCCGGGACGCTCCGGCACCCATAAAAATTTCCCTCGATTTCGCTCGATTTAAAAGATGGAGGTTCGCCGCGGGTGGGAACCAGCCGGGTTATCGTCTTTCGGGGCAAATAACTCGCATATTCCTGTCAACCGCGCATACCAGCCGGCCGGGTCGGGTCGAGCTTTCACAACTACGGTCGGTCTACTATCGAAACTTGGACGACGGACGAGCGCGTTTACAAGCGAGGCATCGTCGCGACGTACGAGCTCTCCGCCTCGACTTTTCGCGGGGTGAATTTCCGAATCGTCGAGGAGCCGAAGAAACGGATCCATCAGTCCCGCCGATGACGGATGTTGCCGTTGCCGCGCGGCAAAATCGCGACGGCACGCGGAACGGATTTGATTTTCGGGACGAGCGCGATAATCGCGCGCGAAGGGAAGGAAATCCGCGGCCGCCCGCCGCGTATGATGAAAACCGATAATTCGAGATTCCCTCCCCCCTGTTTATCAGCTATATCGTACTTTCACGCAACAGGACATTTGGTTTCGCCGGAGGCATTGTCCGTCGGTGGTATCGGTATCGCAATTACCATATATGCCTTCGACCGATTAAGCCGCGGGCCAAACGATTGTGGCGTCACCGACAACTCTCGACAACTGGACGTACGAGTTCGATTCCACTTGCGTTTCATGCACGGGCGCTCTCCGCAGAATCCGATCGTCCCAAACCGCCGGACGAGACCTCATTGTTCTCGCGGCTTATTCGCCTATAGATGAATGCACCTTTTTTTTTTTTTTTCGCCGATATATATTCGAAGCTTCGACGTAACTGTTCTCCTCCCTTTCAGTCGTTGCCGCGCCGGATTTTCATAGTTCGCCTCTCCTCTCGTACGGATCAGAAATCGATGATGATCACGCTGATATCTCGAGCCCTCGGAAGGGAAAGCCCGAGGGCTTTTGTGAAAATCCGTAAGAGTTTTGCGTTACAATTTTTTCACCGTTGCTCCAGCCACGTATAATAATTACTACTAAAACGTCGCTGATGTCTCGTCTTGAAACTCGCCCGTCGCTTCGCAACGAGGATTGCAATTTTTACGCGCGTCAGCTCTTCGCCGAAGCATCGGATAGGACGATGGGGTACACCACCCTTGCGAATTGGCGAGCGTGTTCGTTGTTTTGCGTTTCCTCCCGGATGAAAATTTCCGCCCGATCTGTCATATGGCAACCAAGATTTCGCGACGATCCCCCCGTCAAACTGTCATTTCCACCTCTTTTGCTCATTAATCAGCGGCCTCTATTTAATATCTGTATCGCGTGTCGTATTAATTTGGTTTCGTCGGCTTTCCGTCTCACGTTTCAGGCAAAATGGTAAAGTTACGTTCTACGCCGACCTTTTGCAATTTCGTATGCTTTACGGCCGATCACGTGGGCGGAAAAAAGCTTTCGCATCACGTCGCTAATAAAACTCTTCTTGCAGTAGGAAATCCGCGTTATCGTCGATTTCTCTTCGCCGTGCAGGCGTGAGGACACGTCTTTCACACACTGGCTTTAGATCCGCGCACTCTCAATTAGGCGTTGACGGTGACCGGAAGTGAATCTTCGTTTAAGGGTTCACGGGCGACCTCTCGCAATAACCCACGCACGTGTCCACCGTTCGCTGTTGCATTATGTCAGGCGCCGTTTTTTTTTATCGTCGGATGCACTTAGAATTTTAAGATACGATGGACTCGCCGCGCGTTTTTCTTCACTAAGACCGACACCTCTCGCGATCCTCCCTTGATGCTATTAGAACAGGACGAGAGTTTCATCTCGTATTCCGCGCAAACGTTTCCGGAGATCTCCTTAATTTTCAATCAATTTCAACATTTTGTTCAACCTTATCGTGCAGATGAAGCGGAATCGTTCGTTTCTAGACGCGTTTTAAATGAGAGATAAAGTAAAGTGACGAGAGAGGTAGCGCTGGATCGCACCGCGTTTCCAGAAAGTTCGGACTCGCGGAACGTGCCGGAAGAAAGTTCGTTCCGCGTTCGCGGGATCGATATGAAAGTTCCTCGAGAACAACGTGTAAATAAACTGGTCCCGGGATATATAATCTATGAAACTCGGAGGAAAGTCCACTTTTTGAGGACGTCCGATGGAAAGTTTCTACAAGAATTGTTGTAGATGAGACGAAGATAAGATTTTTCTTTTGTCCGTGCCAATGGACGTCGAAAAAATGTCTCTCACAGGCTGGACGATTCTCGTTGAGGGTAAGAATCTGTGTCGCGGCGGCTATTTGAAGCACGATAGAAGACCCTGTATGGTATTCTTATTTCTCCCTCGCAGAATTCCGCGTTTATTCGAGGCTCTCTCGCGACGTATCCTTATGTTGTACGAATTTCTCGCAGAATTTCCCTCCACCGTGGTTCCATCTGGATCTGAAAAATATATTACAATATCAAGGGTTACTCTTTAAGTTCAAGTAAGGCGCTGCTGATGCGAGAGCGAGAACATGAGTTATCGCGCGATTTACCGGCGCGACGATAAGGGAAAATTTCCGGCCCGCGCGTAGGCGAAAAGCTCGGAAAATGTGAATGTACGGACGGTGAAATCCGTGAAATTTCATCTGTCTCGTTCGGGATGGCGACAAAAAAAGGAGGTATGGCTCGAGAAGCACGTTCGCAGAAGGACGCGGGAGCGGAACGAACGTGCTGATTACGAACCGTTGAATTTCCCGAAGGAATTTAATTATAAAACCGGACCGCGGTACACCGCGACGATCGTCTCGATTAAGACGATGCCTGAGAGGATTGCGGCGCGCGTTTCGTGTTTCCCCCCCCCCCCCGGATAATTATTCTAGTCGCGCGATTGACATTTCCTTTTCTCCCGAACCTTAAGCTACCCCTTAATCCTTAAGAATTGTCGACGATTGTTCGGTAGAAAGATTGTTATTTCGTGGACTACCTCGCCTCAAATACTTATTTATAGCGGCCATCTTTATCGTGCCACTTTAGTTTGATGTCGCCATTTCTACCCTCCATGTATATTGCGCGATGTTTAATTTTCCTTTGTCTAACGGTGGAATATCATTTGCTTAATTGCGCGGCAGCCGTGTTATTCTTTCCATTATTCGCGTTATCTACGGTAAGCTCTTTGCATATCGTAACATGGAATATTACCGACCAAGAAAAATAGAAACAGCCATTTTCCCCCTTTGTACGATGTAATGACTGATATATGGTAACAATAATTAATGTTATTCTAAAGGAATATTTTTCCCCGAATACGCGACGCACGCTTTCGCGTTTCCCCCCCCCCCCCCCGTATCCTTTCCGCCGACGTGATTTGTGACAACGTATAAATAGCACACGAAACGTATGATCTACACAATGTTAGAATCGAGATTGCTTTCGCTTACCGCACAATATTCCACAATGGTCTCAAATAAATGTTTATTCGCATTGTTTGCTCACGGAATGCACTTTTCTGCACGATACTTGGTTCGATCTAACGGCGTGACCCCGTTCCGATATTATGTGTCGTTAACATGCACGCATGAACTATTGTTGTTGGAGCGGCGTCTCGAGCGGAAAAATCCGCATGGAACTTGATATGGAAGAACAACAGCCCTGCCAAAGTAGGAAATAATAATTGGCGCTATAAATAGCATCATTGTCGGGATCCGCGGCACGGGATCCGCCGTAAGATTAACAGGGAAATTATACGAATGGCAAATGCTTTTTGCCCGTACACATGTACATTTGAATAACGTCGCGCCATATAAATTGCAACCAAGCCGCACCAAGCCGCCGTTGGCGACAATTACTTCAGGTTGTTATAGGGCGAAATGGAAATCGCAATTTATGCGGCCCGCCTACAAACGAACAACAGATTAAAATAACGCCCTATCCCAAAGACGACGCGTCGTTGTTAATTCGCGATTATCGCACGCGAATTAAACGAAACCGAAATACAGGCGTTTCCATTTTCGTATGCACTTTTATAATATTACCGTACCCATCACAATTTTTATGCCAATTAACTTTTGCATTACATGTTCAATGCCTGCCAAAAAATTTTGTTTTCGCCTCCCTCGCGTCCGTTCGTGTACAACCGTTGCATATCCGCCATTCGACATCTGACATTTCATATTCTGGCAATTAATCGGGATTAATTGGCCAGATACCGAACGTATTCTCCATTCGCCCGTCGTCGCATTGTGTGCACAAACCGCTCGATAACACGGGTAATTCGCCGGAGAGTTCTTAAACTATGCGTGCGCCACGATTACGGTATGTGCACCCCACGACTATCCTCCGATTG